GGACTTGTATTGGGCACGGCACCAGATCAGCTGTTTAGGCAAGCGGAACGAGAAGTGGTGTGGGCTGCATGTCAGCGGGCAGAAATGGAGATGGAGAGGATGGAGGTGCGAGTGGAACTCGGGGACCGGAAAAATATGAGACGCCCCCTTAGGACAATGAGATGCGCGCTACCCCCATTCCTAGTGGATGCAGTCCTTGGAACCAGGGGTAGATTGGAGCGGATATGTCGGTCGATGACGTGCCTGAGGTTGTACCAAGGTGCTAGGCAGGACTTTTCAACTATCGGTGGAGGCGGGGCCGTTCGAAGGAAACTGGGCGGAAGAATTGGCTGAGGTGTTAAACCTCCTCAGCGCGGACGAAATCTTTGTTCCCAGCCCGGTGCATTGGCAGATAGTTTACCGAAACGTGGCAGCAGGGGAAAGCTTCCTGGAAGGGGTGAAAGAGGTTCCTAGACGAGGAGGAGGATTTCAGTGATGAGGAGGACGGGGACGAGATAGAGGATTGGGACTTCTGAGGGGGGCTTACCTGGGGAAAACAGGTTGTCGGCTATGTGCAGGTAGGGAACGATGGCTCGGGAACTCGAATTGTGGGATTGCACATGGGAACCAAGACGAACCGGAAGGGGAGTAGAGATGTCAATACCGCCGAGTAATGAATGGAAAGGGACCACATGTGATTGGTGGGGGTATGAGATTGTGTCGGAACTATCGTACCTTTGGATAGAGCGTATCTGAAATCCGTTGAGGGAAGAGGAAGGATGGGAGGGGATTGCGTAAGGAAGGGTGGAATCAGCTGGACGATTGTTCTCTCGGAACAGGGCTGACACCTGTTCTGCACGACGCTCGCTGCAGGGCAGAACCCGATGTGGCTTTTAGGGGACGCTGAGGCAAGGGCTCGACAGGCGGGGGAAAGTTTTTGCTAATAAAGGTTGGGATACGGTCAGCAGTAGAGTCGTGATGGGAGGATGGAAGGAATTTAAACCACCCGACGCCCGAATCAAGACCTGGGTACCCGAATTCGTGGCAGACTGGTTTGGGGGTTTTAATCATGTAACAAAGGTAGCTGACACGATGGAGCGAATACATGTGAATTGCACTTGGCTGGCAGGAGAATTCTATAGGACATCCTTGAAATACGGACCCTTCCACGGCGATAGAGCCCGGGAGGTCCTCATCATTTTGGACATCGAAAGGAATGACCGGCAGGAGGTGGCCCCGGAAACCAGGGAGGCCAGAATCCGCCGTGAGGTAGCAGCAACGCCTTGCTATGTGGATGATGTGTTCAAACTGCTCGAAGTACTGTGGTCCGACTAAGAGCAGAGAAGCTGCGGAGCCAGACAAATACGACAAAATTGCTAAGAATAGGGAATGGGATGTCTGGCCATTGTAGGGTTCAGCCCGGATCGCGAGCCGGGAGATCAAAGGCGAGCGCGCGATGGCACGAAGAAGGACGTTCCTTGAGGAGCGCCCCTTGGGCATTGAACCGCCTAGGGAAGTACCGGGTGGGATAGAGGTTAGCCTGCCGACAACACGCGAGGGATGGCTCCAGGTGGCGGATTGGGTCAGGATCGAGCTTGCAAAAAATATTGTTTATTTGGTGATGAAAGTTGAGTGGTGTGCGGCTGAGAATGGGGAATGGAACCTGGTCCCATGGGGGCACGTGCGGGCAGAGGGGCGGTTGTATGTGTCAGAAAATGGGTGGAGGGAGTTCGGAGTTCGGCTGGCATCCGGAGAAGACCCGTTGAGCATGTTTGAGGGGGCATGGCAATTAGCATGGCGAACGGGATTTGAGTTCGCAGATCCGGGGGTTGACGATGTAACGGCAGACCTTAGGGTAGCCATGGTCGGGAGTTTCGAATTGCCTAGTGAAAATGTACGAATGAGGCTGCCGCCCTTCCTGCTGGAAAAACTGGGCGGTCTGGAACTTGTTGGACAAGTGGTAGCCGACCTCGCAAGCCTGACATATRAAGAAGCGGMGGTACATYGAGAATACTACCAGGCCTTCTTAGAAATGGGACCGTTTAGCGGAGAGCAGAAGTACGAGGTGCTGCGCATCCTGCGTGCTGTGTTTAGTACCAGGCCAAGGGTTCCAGTCGTGGGAAGTGAGGTCCTGTGGGGTGTCGTTCGGCGGGAAATAAACCATGGGATGGCATACGTAGATGATYTGTACCGATTGTATGAGCAGATGGAGGAGGGAACAGGTCGSTAATAGGGCCRAAGAGAGGGGAAAGAAATAGAAGGGGAAAAGAAGCACCAGGCTAGGGATCGGGGAGTTGTTCGGGTGGAAAATTGAAGACCAAGGGGAATAAGTAAATTTGCGTGCTGTTTAAAATTGTGCAGGGGACTTCTAAGTCGGAAATGGCAATGAGACGCGCCCGGATGCCGCGCGACCCATGCACCCGCGACCACCCACGGAAAACGGAGGTGGATGGGAGGTGTCGCTCCTGTCTCTTATACACATCTAGATGTGTATAAGAGACAGGTTTAAAATTGTGCAGGGGACTTCTAAGTCGGAAATGGCAATGAGACGCGCCCGGATGCCGCGCGACCCATGCACCCGCGACCACCCACGGAAAACGGAGGTGGATGGGAGGTGTCGCTCCTAGCAGGCTACGCGATTCAAGGATTGGATGCCGAATGGAGAGCCGTGACCCTGGGAAGAGGACAGGCGTTCATGATGATGGAATGTTTGTGGGATGGTATGAGGATTAACAGGGGCCCGAGAGACGACCTGTATACGAATCTTCGGGTGACGGGGACTGTATACCTGCCAGAGCTCGGATGGCATATGTTGGGAACGAAATTGGCACTAGGGCATGGGTTGTTGCCAATCTTCCAAAGGGCTACTAGGGTACTAAACCGGGTAGGCCAGGAAGTGCGAGGGAGAAGAAATGTGGGGTTAAGGACTCGGGTGGAGGTAGGAGGTTGGCGAGAGTTTAAGGCCCCAAGGACCGGGCTGAGGTGCCGAGTACCTCGCTTCATGGTAGACCTGGTATTCGGCAACCTCAAGAGGGCAAGGGAGTTGGTGGACTCGACCCTGGTCTGGATCCACCTCTTCCGACCACAAACAACGAGCATGTTCTACGATGTGTCGGTCAGACATGGGCCGTTCTGCGGGAATCAGCTTGGGAGCTACTCGAATTACTCGAGATTCTGATATTCGGATTGCCCCACCTGTCATTTGAAGAATATGAGCCAATAATTATCAGGGAAATAGACATGTGGGAAAATTACCTTGCGGGGGTGGCGGACTTGTTCGAGGAACCGGATGAGCAGGGCAGGCCTGAGGGACCGGCATGAGAAAAACGTGTCAGGGAGAAGTAGGGAAATAAAGAATGGGTACTAAGATAAGTAGGCAGCCATCAGCAAAAGAGAGGCAGTGGTTGGAGTTCCGACCGACCCAATGATGCAGCAGGGAGGAACTAGGAAGACCACCCGCTCCAAAGATTCTGGGGCGCCTGGATGTCGATAAGCTGAAAAGGCCATCCCCGATAGGAAAGCCACTGGGCTCAGGTACCGCCCTAAGAATCAAAGCGCGACAGTAACGAAACGCCAAAGCGGCGGCGGCAAGGCTCCGGTAGAAGAAAACATAAAGGACGCCCCGGGAGAGAAAAGTCAGAAGAGTCGTACTGATTAATGTAAGACACAAAAATATGGGAATAGGCGGGTTTTAGGGACGGGACTAGGGCAGTTATGAACAATCGGCCGCCTTTTCGCAATTTTTTTTTTTTTTTTTCCATGTGCAGGCTAGGTAAAGACATGGCGACGGAGGAAGGGATCGATGACYAGCAGAGCGGAGGGAATCAGGGCACGAATGGGAATGGGGAACGAAACGAGGGATCAACTAGGGATCGAGAGCAGCCAAACTGGAGGGGACCCGAGAAGACGGAAAGGACGCCTCAATTGGAGAAAGCTCGGGGAAAGCTGGGGGTAGCAAAAGGGGACCTCAGCAAAACAGGGAACGGGGAAACGATATGAGAACAAGTCCTCGGAACTCAGCAGGAGCCACCCCAAAAAAGACGAAATTCTTGGATACCGGTCATAAACTCGCAGAGATAGAGAAGCGGACCGCGGAATTTAAGGCAAGAGTTATTGAGCAAATGATGGTCGGGGATGAGGACCTCCAGGACGCAGGGTCACGTGAGGGACGCAGGGCCGGTCAGGACGAGGCTAGGTATGAGGGGAAGGATGATAGTCACAAAGGAACGCCTAGCAAGAAGGGGAAGGATAAGAGCGACCCCCCAGCGAAAGGAACGGAAAACGCTATGACCCCACCCGCCATTGACAGCGGCACTAGCAGACTACCCGCCACGCTGAAAGTAACAGGGGCGTATGACGGACTCTGGAGCCTTAGGGAGTGAGTGCTAGGATGGTTCGACCCAGAAGGAACACCGAAAACCAGGGAGAAGCAGAGGGAAAGCACGGAAGGGGAAGGAGCCGGTGCAGCCGGGGAAGCGGGTGGCTCCGAAGACGGTCTCAAGATGCAAAAAAGAAGCTCACGTTCGATGGGGCCAACATTACGGAGTTTCTAATAGACTATGAGAACCTAGCAGCGTTACTGAAATGAACGGAAGAGGAAAAGATGGAGCACCTAGGACAGCACGTATCGCTAAGTTTGGGAAGGGACATTATGGCCATCGTCGCCTCCAGTGGATCCTGGAGAGAAACCAGGAATGAGATGATGAGGAAATACCTGAAGGCGGAAAAAATGGCAACAAAGGCCGAATTAGCCGCAGTCCAGAGGAAAAACTATGCGACTTACAATGATTTCCTAAGGGCATTCACGTTAGTGGCTCTGCGAATTCCCGGGGTAACGAACCGTATAATGAGTAAATACTTCCTCAGGCAGTTTTCCGAATTCGATAAAGATAAGATTTTGTCAGCATACCAGCAGACTAGTAAATTCGAATACACGAGAGACGTGGACTTGAACACCGTAACAGACCTTGCGGAAAAGACAGTGGTTACCGATACGCTAGCCCTACTTAAGGAAGGGGAGGTCATAGATCTTAACCGGGAAGACAGGGGATAAGGTCAAGAAGGGGATAGAGAGCCTGCACGAACGGGTGCACGGGGTCGATAGCAAGATGGACAGAATGGAAAATGCACTGTTAGTAATGCACGCGCAAGTGTCCAGACCCGCCCTCCCACCCCAAGAGGCCGTGGTTTCGGCAGCTGTAACAAACCGGGGGTTTGGCAGGAGGGACCCGGCCAACGAACAATGCAAGTATTGCACCATGATCGGGCATTTCGTACGGGCTTGTCCGAGACTCAATCACAATATCGAGCGGCAGAGGTGCAGTAGGTCCCTCAAAGGCGAGATCCTCGGACCCAGGGGGGAGCGTGTTAATTGGAACTCGCCAGGAGGGATGCAGCAAGCCGTCATCCTCCTGAATAACTTAGAGATAGCTGCAGTAGAAGCAGAGCCGATAGCCGAGATTGTCTGGGACCAGCCAAGGGGACGGGGACCACAGGCCAATTTTATCCTAGAAGGCAATGGCCAGGACAAGGTAAATATTACCACTCGCCGGGCGGGGGCAGAAAAGAAGCTCATCCAAGATACAGTAATGGAGGAACTCGCAGTGACTAGCACGGGCCAGCAAGAGACCGAAGCCGCGGAACAAGAGAAGGTCTATGGGAAGCCAAGGGAGGACGAACCGGTAGACAAGGCTATGGCCGCAAAAAAGAAGTTCAGGTATCAAATTCCGATCCTGACTTCGCAAGAAATTGATGGCACCTTGAGTAAGCTACTGGGTACCATGGTATCGGTGTCCTTTCAGACCATGCTGCAAGCCAGCCCAAAGCTGCTTAAAGGACTCAGGCAGCTGCTAACGCGTAAGCACGTAGAGGTAGAGGAGGCCCCGGAACTGCAAGAGCAGGACACAGAGGAGGCCGAGGCGCCGCAAGGAGTCTCCAACCTCCAAAGCATTCCAAGGGGCTTGGGAGAGTTGGAGAAAGCCTTTGCGGACATCCGCCTAAGCCTACCGGATTGTGAAGGTGGTGAAGTCATGAGGACGCCAGTTGGGAAAAAGTTCAAATCGGAACTCACCACACTGACGCGTTAGTGGATGGCGGAGCAGAAATCACCCTTATACGACGGGATTTCGCAACGGTCACGGGGTGCACGGTAAACAAGGAAGTAGCAGGGAGTATCCGGGGAGCAGGTGGCGAAATTCCTTTCACAGGGTATGTCACCAAATGTGCAGTTAGGGCGGGAATCTGGGAATCCATCTGGTCCTTTCAGCGGATGACCGTGATGGAAGAAATGGATCACGTTGTAATCCTCGGGAGACCATGATGCGCCAATGTGGAAATGATAGGAATGCATCTGCACGACGGCACATACATGGTAGACATAGAGGATCCGGTGACTGGTCGCGGAGAACTCCTCCGACACCTCGGAACTGGAAGGGACCCTCCGAAGGGCAAATTGGCAACCTGGTCGCCAACATTCGAAGAAAGTGCACGGAAAGGGGCATTCGCCCGAATGGAAGGAATGAGGGAAAGGGTAGAAATTATGATTGAGGAGGCTTTTAGTAAAAAGGAATGGATCAAGATGGGCTTGCCCGTAAAGAAGAGGAGGCCAGAGGACGAGTCCCTGGAAGTTATGGTGGCAGAAAAGGAGTCGGAAGTCGAACTTGGGGCCAGCCTGCCCAAACCAAAGGAAGGTCGGAACGAAACGTCGGAGGTAGTACTTGAAATCCCAGATTTATCACAACTCGTTAAGGCCATCAGGTACCACAAGGTGGGGGTGGACCTCGCAGCGCTTGCCAAATTTGAGGATGAGGTTCGAAAGGGCTACTGTCTGAATGGGAAGCTAGTCAGCATCCAGCCTCGCGTCTTGGAGGTAGCATGGCCGATCCCGACCGTTCATTTTTCAGGAGAACGATCCCCGAAGGTAGTATGCGAAAGTATAAACCCGTAGGCAAGAAGGCCAAGCCGGTCTCGATCCTAGTGGAAACGTCAAAGGAAGAGGCCATGGAGAAGGAGGAGGAAATCTTGCGGGTAATAAGGGAGAGGCGAGCAACGGAAGGGCATCGCATACCAGAGGAGGTAGCAGATACTATGAAAATAGGAGTGGAAGGGTTTCTAACAGCGAAAGAAACTCGGTTGATAAGAAAAGCATGTCAGGAGTTTCATTTAGCTTTCGCCTTCAACGATCATCAGAAAGGACGATTGGACGCAAAGCTAGTTCCCCCTGTCAGGATCCACACCGTACAACACGAGTGTTGGAATGATAAAGGGTCCGCCTACGAGTTTGGGGTAGCAGCGGAGGTCACCGACCTGCTAAGAGCCAAAATAGATTCTTTCGTCGTTGAACCCACCGCATCTCCCTACGTGAACAAGTGGTTCGTGTTCAGGAAGCCCAATAAGACACTCAGGTGGATCCAGGACCTGGAGAAGCTCAATGCGGTAACAATTAGGGACGCAGGCTCGCTTCCACAGGCCGACTTATTGGCAGAATCTCATGCAGGGCGGAGCATTTACTCCCTGGTAGACTTGTACTCAGGATATGATCACTTGCCGCTCGATGCGAGGGATAGACCGTATACCACAATGCACACCCCGGTAGGACAGCTGCAGATGAAAGTGACCCCTATGGGCTTCACAAATGCGGTAGCAGAAGCTCAGAGGAGAATGCTCGCCGTCGCAGGGGATATGTTTCCGGAAAAGTGTGAACCTTACATAGATGATAATCCCGTGAAAGTCGCAAGATACAAAGATGAGACGGAAGTGCAACCGGGAGTGCGAAAGTTCGTCTGGGACCACTTGCAGGATATTAAGGACTTACTCCAACGATTCCTAGTCTACAACATTACTGCAAGCGGACCCAAGAGCATCCTGGCCGTCCCGGAAGTAACCATACTGGGATTTCGCTGTGGAGCCTATGGGAGGAAACCCGAGCCAGCAAAGACTGATAAGATCTCTCAGTGGCCGACACCCCTGCGTACCACAACGGAAGTACGAGCCTTCCTAGGGGTGGTCGGGTTCTGGAGGATCTTCATCAAAGGTTTCGCAAAGATAGCAGAACCCATCCGCGCGATGATTAGGGACCGAGGATAGGGAAGAGGCAGCCCAGACCCTGAAAGACATCCTGTCATCCGATCAGGTCACGTTAGCAGCACCCTGTTTCAATGTCGAGGTAGGACGGCCCTTCATCTTAGAAACAGACGGGGGACCATTGGCAGTGGGAGGAGTATTGATACAGAGAAGCGAGAAGGGCCAAGAAAGACCAATAAGATTTGAAAGTAGGACCCTGAATTCAGCAGAGCGACGGTATTCGCAGTTCAAGAAGAAGGTCTTAGCAATCCTGCATTGTCTTAAGACCTTCCAGGCATATCTGTTCGGGAGGCGATTTATCCTAAGGATCGATCCCACCAACGTTGCTGGTGCCCTAAAGAACTACAAGCCCATAAACCCGACTGTTGGCAGATGGATAGGCTTCATATGGCAATTCGACTATAAGGTCGAGCGAATTGCAGGGCTTCGAAATAGGGCAGATGGGCTGAGCAGGGTTTGTATCACGCCAGAAGGAGTAGAGGACGCAGAACCAATTGACGCCTTCCTGGAGTACGAAGGAGGGACCCTTGTCGTGGATAATGAGATGGCAGATCCGACAACTGCAACAGGACAGTTGTTGATTCAGACCTTGGAAAAGGGCGCACCTGCAGTAGTTGTAGAACTCAGGAAAGGACCAGTCACCACGGTTAGGCGTAAAGAGGAAAAAGACTCGTGGGGAGCAGAAGTAGGGGCCARAGAGGAATTGATGGCAATGATCGTGGAAGGGGGACGGGACGCCATAATGACATTGGCCGAAACCTAGGCGCAGAAGGAGTGTCARTACCTAGTCAACCTCACTCGGGAGGAGCAAGGTGCGGATCAGAACGAACAAGAATTCTTCCTCATACAAATGTATGAGGGCATTTTCAAAGAAATTGGTTTGCTGCTTGTAGGGAACAAACAACCCACGGAAGTCAGTCCCAAGGCAAGGGAGGAAGTAGAAAAGTACGTCCTAAGAAATGGCCACCTGTTCAAGAGAGAGGAAGGGATGATGCCTAGACGCGTCGTTTGTGGGAGGTCTAGGCAGCTGGACATAATTCAGGCAATGCATGATGGGCTAGCTGGGGGTCACCGGTCGTCAAAGGGGACACTTGCAAAGATTGTGCCCCTGTATTTCTGGCCAGGAATGGCAGGCATGGTCGCAACGTACTGTCAGACGTGTCTGATATGTCAAGAAAGGAGCTCCGTACGGGTTTACGAGCCCCTTAGACCCACCCGGGTACTGGGACCCAGACACCTTGTTCACCTCGATCTTGCCGTTATGCCCGTATCGACGGATGGGTTTAGATACATCTTGGATGCTAGGGATAATCTTAATGGCTATGTAGAAGCCGTAGCCCTCAAGAGGAAGACAGGGAAAGCAGTGGCCGATTGGGTGGAAAATTTCTACCTAAGGCACCCCTTCGTGCGCAGGTTTATAGCAGACAATGGGACAAAATTCGTTAACTTGGAGGTGTTGAACAAGCTTAAGACACTGTGTGTACCAATCAAGTTCACCGAACCCTACCATCTTGAGGCAAATGCACCGGTAGAAAGAGGTCACCGGATTTGAAGAACACAATCGCAAAGTTGGCAGTAGATAATTTGGGAAGTTGGCCATGGTTTCTCAAGCAGACAGTCTTCGCCGAGAACACGACTCCCCAAAAAGAACAACGGGATGTATTCCAGCAGAGCTCTAGTATGGAAGGGAGATCGATTTTCCGATAGAAACTTTGGTCCCCACCTGGAACAGGCTAGATGACGACCCACACTTGAGCACGGAAGAGTTAATCACCGCACGCTGTCAGCAGGTCGCCAGAAATGAGGAGGCACTCGAGAAAGTAGTCAATCGTGTGACGGATAGCCGAATGAGGGATAAAGCAAGATGGGACCAGGTTAAGAACATTCGGAAGGAGCCACTCCAGGTGGGGGAAAAGGTGCTAGTTAGGAACTCGGCTCTTGAAAGCACATGGTCCRGGYAGCTGGGAAAAAGATTCAAAGGGTCCTACAGGATCGCTAAGCGGGTGGGACTGAACACATTTGAACTTGAGGATCTCGATGGTACTAGCATAAGAGGGTCATTTATGGGACAGAGATTGGTCAGATTTTTTAGCAGGGACCCGATGGAACAGTGGCTACAAGAGGTCCAGGACAGGGAAACTGGGGAAATGAAAGGCAGGAAGTTGGCTATAAGTATTGGACCGCCTCCCTGTGGAAGTGATCATGACCACAGGGATTGTTCTTTTGTGTGTCTTGCTTTTGTGGAACGTAGGGAGACTGCCTGGGCTGACTGTGACGGGGCTTGGGAGCACGGGACGGTGGATTATAGTTTTTTGTGGGGTAATGTTGGTAACTGTCTGCACGAGATATTTATGTGTTGGGACAATGTGCCAAGGGTTCTAAGGGATAATGGGACTACCAACTACATGAAGCAAGCAAGAGTTCTAGGGAAGCCTCCAAAGCTGCGAATGGGAGTGGAAGGGAATGCGTGTGTATGAGGGGTGTGATAACTGATATGCATGAACATGACCAAGCAATGAGCAAACAGTAAACGGCAAAATGGAGTTTGGAAATGAAAACGACAGCAACGCCATCAATAGGCCTACTGAGGGACAGTCGTTGAGACAGAGTGGAGAATCAAGCTCCAGGAAAAGGAAATTGTATGTGGGGTTTGATCACAACCTGGTTGTGAACAGGGGGGGGAGAAAGCAAGGGACTAGGGGACCTTCACCGCCAAGGGAGGGGGAGCCAATAGTCCTCCCCTCTGAGAGCGATACCAGTAAGGAGGAAGAGAGGAACCCGGGAAAAAGGCCAAGGTTGGAAGAGGAGGAGTCCATCGAGGTCATAGACATCAGTAGCGGGGAAGAAGAGGACGAAGTGACAACGCCCACAAGGGAAGATCGGGGAAGAGAGGAGGGCCCAGGGGAAGAAAACCAAGAAAAAGAGAATTCGGGCCAACTTTCAGCGATTGGTTCGATCACTGGTCCCGTATTTTGCGTTACCAGTGGGCAATGAAGGGCAAGGAAAAGTTGAGCAGGGGAGAAGACATATCCCCCACAACTTTCTTTTCAGAAAAAATGCTTCGTCATCTACAAACAATAAAGAGGCTAATGGAGCAAGAGATGGAGGACCGTGCAAGGAGGGAGGCTCGGCGCAGGGCACCGGGACAGTAAAAGGGGACAGCAGGCATGACGAGAATAAATGGAATCGGGGAAGGGGTGGTAACCAAGCAGCAAGAACTGCCACCCTTCCTTTTGCGCAGTTGAACTTCTTCCTGGATGAACTATGATGAGACAGCTGCTAAGCTCGAAGCGGCTAAGGACTGGGTGACAAATGCTACTTCATATAAGTCGTTGCTTCTTCGAGAACGGGCACAAAACTTTTTGCACTTAGAATAGAACTGTGGATGGTTGGGATGGCTAAGGGAAAGTAAGGGAAAAACGGGGAAGAACTAGATGAGACGAGTTTGTAATGTTGTCTTGCATTCGAATTTTGTCTCCTCGTTCTCTTTTTGGAAAGACTGCGATGTAACTGCTTTTTGGATTGAAGAAACTAGTAGGGGGTGGGTGACCGGTGCTACTTTGTACGAGTACCTGCTCCTTCTGGGAAACATGAGCCTTTTGTAGTAAGAAAGGGACTCGGGGTGATTGACTTTGTCTCAAGGAAATGGGCAGGGCCATGTGAACTCTTGAACTTTGGGAGAAACATTCAGGGCAAAAATCATTCTTGTGAGTTGTGCAACCATGATTGAATGAGTCATGGCATGAGTCCTTGTGAGAGGTTAGGGAACCTATGGGCAAAGAGATATTCTCTTCCCAGCCTAATCCAACCTACCCCGGGCAATCCCAGGGCATTCAGAAGCATATGAGAAGTCAGAAAAGTGGCAGGGAAACATTGAAATGATGAAACACCCCTTGCAATGGTTGAACGGTCGGGCGGGCTAGCGCTGCTTGGGGCCGCGAGCCTCAACTTGAGTACTAGACGCTAAGTCGGATGTATGGGTGGATGTAAGAATGACAGAAGATATGAGGAAAAGGAAGAAGCATGCATAAAAACCCAAGACGGTGGCCGCCCTCTAACCCCCGAGACGAGATAGGATCCGTGTCCTCGAGGCCCACCCCCTCGGGCGCTAACATTGCAATGGACAAGGATGACCCTAACCAGGCTGTTCAATTGAAATGGACAAGGATGGCCCTAATCAGGCCGTCCGATTGCAATGAATAAGAATGGCCTAAGCCTAAACAGGCTGTTCGACTTGGAAATGGAAAGAACGACCCTAACCAGGTTGTTCGGAATGGCCCCTGACAAGGGTCATTCTTTTGGAATTGGTACTGGGGTCCCCTTGCATGGTTGCTTGTGATGCATGGAATTGGAAGAGCCGAGTTTTGGAAAAGAGATTAGAAGAACTCGGCCTTGGAAAGGATATCGGACTCAGCCTTGTAAGGGATATTGGATTCAGCATCGGAAGTGGATTGAGCCTAGGAATTGGGTTGAGCATGGCAACGAGATTGAGTTTGGGAATGAGACTGAGCATTGGAATTGGATTGAGAATTGGAAACTGCATTGCATAAACAGGGGACCCTAGGCAACTTGAAATGGACTTGGAAAGAGCATTGAAATGGAATTTATCTTTTCTTCTAGTCTTTGGCCTCAGCAAGACGGGGATACCGGTGCACGCACCGCGACCCCAAAAGACCTCTATCCCTTTGAGGAAAAAAGTCTCAGCGCGACCTACTCCTCTTGTAAGAGGATGAGGGTTAAAGGACTAAGGCACCTACCACTTAGTTCGGTGCGGGACGTCCCGAACCACCTCCGACAATGAGCTCTAGTCGGAGAGTTTCAATTGCGCCTCCTGTTGAATGCCTAAACGTCAAAGGGCGAGAAAGCCAAATGGGCAGGAAGGCTATTCTCATCTAAATCTATTTTGCTACTCTCCAACCACACACCATGCCATAGAGGGGTGGCATGGCCGTTTGGGTCGGACCACGGCTGCCCACGCTAAGTTGGGCGGCACTGTCCAAGGGGAGAGGTCGGGCGAGGTACCGGGCGGAGTCCGCCACCACCACAGGGTATTGACACTGCCCTGCCGGAACATTACAACCGTTTCGGGACTAATTGCGAGGTCTTCGTAACTGCACTCGCGGACTGATCGAGAGCCCTAACTCTCTTGAAAGGAAGAGGCCGGATTCCAAAAAATTACCACTCGGGAGGAATGATTCGTGAGGAACACTCTTACGGCTAGACGAGGCCCTGGCAGGCTTGGATTGGACCTACTTGGCAGACGTGAGGAGGAACCTTGGTATTGGTGCTCGCCACGTAAGAGAAGAAATGTCGGACCGGGTAGAAGGATGAGGCGTCGTCCGCTGGGGAAGAACTGATCACCCTTCCTTTTGTGAAGTGGATGGGCTTGTGTCCTTGACTTGCGGTCGGCAGGCCAAGGGTCTGCGTACCTCCGAGTGAGAACCAGTCGCGCGATGGGGACATCTACCAATGAATACGCATGAAAATAAGACTTGTAATTGATTTTGCATGGGCTTGGAAAAAAGGGGTCTGTTAAGATGGCCGGCACAGAAAAAGATTGTAATTGACTTTGTATAGGCCTGAGAAAAAGGGGGCCTGGCAAGACGCCAGTGCAGAAAGGACTTGAGCAGGGGACATGGTATGCACCGGAACTGGCAGGCTGAGAATTGGCTGTGTAATTGGTTCGTATAAGCTCAAAAAGATGAGAAGTGGCTGAGGGGTGAGCCAAGCAATTCACATGGAGAGTCAATTAAGTAAAGGGCAAGAAAAGGCAGAGGATGATATGCATGCGGAATTGGCAGGACCTGAGAGAGGCCGGGAGGAATGACCCGGGAAGGATGCATGTGGATTAGGCTATGTCTGAGCTTCGGGGAGAGGAAAAATTGTATTGAAAATGAGAGGATGTCCTAAGAGTA